CCTCTTGCCAGGAAAGCGGCCTGCTGGTCTCTGTGGTATGACGGTGTTCACAGGGCGGTATGATTCCAGAGACTTGGCCCCGATGGCTCCGTCTTCTTCCAACATACAAGACACATCTGTGTTGTCCCACAGTGATGAGACTGCTGCTGTTACTGCTGAACTACTCAGAATTCTTAAGATGAGAGCAGAATGATACCTATTATTTAGAACTGCAGCTTGGGAGTCCACCTTTTTCTGTATCCCTCTGAGAGAGGGGGCAGAGAGAGAAAGAGAGAGAGAGAGAGAGAAAGAGAGAGGCTGAGTTGAGGGCTTCCCATCTACAGAGCCTACTCAGGATTCTTAATTCTATCACCTTCATGATTTCATTTATGAAGACAAGCTATGAAATTTAAAAAGTTCTCAGAGTTGGCTCTAGAGATTTTAGAGAAATCTGAATATGAGAAAGTAAAATACCACTAACAAAAAAAACCACAACTGACAGAAGAATTACCTTAAAATACATCTCACATTTTTAAAAAAGATTTATTTGAAAGTCAGAGTTACAGAGAGGGAGGGAGGGAGGGAGGGAGAAAGGGAGAGAAAGAGAGAGAGAGAGAGAGAGAAAGAGAGAGAGAGAGAGAGAAAATCCTGCATCTGCTGGTTCACTCCCCATATGGCCTCAATGGTGAGGGCTGATTCAGACCTAAGCCAGGAGCCAGGAGCTTCATCTGGGTTTCTTACATGGCTGTCAAGGGCCCAAACACTTGGACCATCTTCGACTGCTTTCCCAGGCCATTAGCAAGGAGCTGAATCAGAAATGGAGCAGCTGGGACAAGAACCAGCGTGCATATTGGATGCTTGTATTGCAGATGGTGGTTTTACCCAATGTGCCATAATGTTGGCCCCCATATCTTACAATTAAATACAAATGACTATTCACCCTTTTAAATTAACTTCATCTGACAGGGTGTATCTTCAGGGAATGTTTGTGGTTTATGATTAGAGCATGAAAACACTTTGAGGACAGACATCCAGTTCATTCAGCCCAGTGCCTTTTATAGGGCTATTATGACATAGGAAATGTGTGGTAAATGTTAATGAATGGAGGGTTAACTGCACACCTTTCTTATCTTAGGAGACATTGAAGGGGTAGGAGGTAGATGGGAAAGATATAGGTCTTCCACATCACGAGATTTGTCCATGGTCCATGGCTGGACAAACTCGAGTTAGGAGCCCACAATTTGCCCCATCATCTGTGTTCCAGTAAGAAATAGAGAAATGAGGGGCTGGCCTAGAGGGTTAGGCCACTGCTTGCAATGCTGGTTCAAGTCACCACTGCTCTTCCTCCATTGCAGCTCCCTGCCAATGTGCCTGGGAAAGCAGTGGAAGATGGCCTATGCACTTGGGTCCCTGAACCCATGTGGGAGACTAGGATGGAGTTATTGGCTCCTGGCTTTAGCCTGGCTCAGCCCTGGCCATTGTGGCCATTCGGAGAATGAAACAGCAGATGGAAGATCTCTTTATCTCTGTCTGTTACTCTCTATAATTCTACCTTTCAAATAAATAAATCTTTTTTTCATGCATTGTTTTTTATTTCAGTCCAATTCATATTTCTTTAGCATTGGAGCCCAGCACCATATCAGCTTATATGACTGATAAATAGCAATGATAATGGTTAGTTTCCTATTAGGATGTAGACGTTGATCTCTGTATAACCAACAACCAGTGACCAAGGCCATGGGATATACCACCTGAACAAGTTGTAATCCCCCTAGCTCCTTGTGTTTGGATTACAAATATATAGCTTTTTCAGCTTAAAGCAAATAAATAAATCTTAAAAAAATAGAAAAATGTTAACCAGAGAAACAAGAGCAAAGAAGTAGGCAGTTGAAAACTCTGTCATGTAGAAATTTGCATCTTCACAGAAAGGCGGAGTAAATGAGTTATTTTAGTTCACCTTTTCTCTACCCAGGAACACAGTGTTCAATATTGTTGGCCTCTGTGCTGGAGAAGCACTATTACCTGTAGAGGGTCTGGAAACCAGAGAGGGATGCTGAGTGATGTGGTTCTGCCTGGTATTCCTTCTTGCAGGGGATTCTTGCATGGAACTGGTAGGTTATGGTGCAGCTCGGAATGGCTATGCTATGACTAACTATCTCCCTCTTATAGTACTTGGCCCTGAGCTTTCAGTATTGCTATATATGACTCAGAATCATTTCCACCTGCAAACCTTCCTGCCACACATGAACCAACTTACTATTCACCTTATTGCTGATTGATTTATTAACTCTTTGAAGCTCATTTCCATGGTGAATGCAGTCTTGGGTTGCTTACCCTCCTCTGGCTAATGAAGATTGCCTAACATTTGGTTCCTTGGAGCTCAACTGCATTCCTAATATTCTCTTGAATTCTGCTTGGACTACTTGTCACTTCACTTGATGGAGAAATGAAGGTCATTCTCATAAGTAATCACCCTCATCATTACTTCTTTTTAAAAACATTTTAAAGATTTATTTTAACTTTATTAGAGAAAGAGAGAGAGAGAGATAGAGAGAGAGAGAGAGATCTACTGGTTCATTATCCAAATCCCCACAACAATCAGAACTGGACCTGAAGCTGGGAGACTGGATCTCCATCTGGGTCTCCCACATGGGTGGTGGAGACCTAGGTATTTCAGCCATTATATCTGCTGGTTCCCAGGGTTTATATTAGCAAGAAAGTGGATCAGAAGTAGAGGACCTGGGGCTTGAACCAGGTACTCCAGTATGGGATGTGTGCATCCCTAATGGAGTCCTAACCTCTGTGCCAAATGTTTGCCCCCCCCAACAATTACTTCTTATGTATGTGCAGAGATTTCAAGTTTTCATCATACTTCCATGTATGTAAGGCCACATTTATCTGTGATCCATATTTTTTATAGGTGAAAAAAAGGGGTTCATAGAGGTTAAATGACAATAATGATCATCTGTAGTAAGTTATTATGCGATTATGACAAGACTCAAAATCTGGTTATCTGATTCCACTTAAGAATGGTGAGGATGGGACTGGCATTGTGTGTAGTGGGTAAAGCCTCCATGGATGACACTGACTCTACTTCTGATCAACTCCCTGCTAATGGCCTGGGAAAAGCAGTGGAAAATGGCCCAAGTACTTGGGCCCCTCCCACCCATGTAGAAGACCTGAATGAAGCTCTTGTCTCCTGGCTTTAGCCTAGCTCAGCCCTGGCCATTGCACCCACTTTGGGAGTGAACCAACAGATGGAAGATGTCTCTCTGTCTCTCTCTCCCTCTCTCTCTGCAACCTCACTTTCAAGTAAATAAATGTACCTTTTAAAAAAAGAATGAAGAAGATGAGGGTGCAAGATATATTGCATGTGTGTATGTGTGTGTGTGGGCGGGGTACAGGCACTGTGGCGTAGCAGATTAAGTTGTCATCTGCAGCACCAGCATCCTTTATGGTTGCCAGTTCAAATACCGGCTGTTCCAATTCTGATTCAACTCCCTGCTAGTGTGCCTGGGAAAACAGTGGAAGATGGTCCAAGTGCTTGGGCCCCTGAACCCATATGGGAGACCCGGAAGAAGCTCCTGGCTCCTGGCTTTGGATCAGCCTAGCTCTGGCCTTTGCGGCCACTTGGGGAGTGAACCAGTAGATAGAAGCGCTCTCCCTCCCTCCCTCCCTCCCTCCCTCTCTCTCTCTCTCTCTCTGTAACTCTGCCTTTCAAATAAATTAAAACACTTTTTAAAAAAAGATGTATTGTGGGGACTGGTATTGTGACACAGCAGATAAAGCTGCCACTTGTGAAACTGGCATCCCGTGAGTGCTGTTTTGAGTCTTGGCTGCCCTGCTTCTGACCAAGCTTCCTGCTAATGAGCCTGGGAATGCATGAGGGGATAGCTCAAGTACTTGGGCCCCTACCACCTATGTGGGAGACCAGAATGGAGTTCCTGGCTCCTGGCTTTGACCTGACCCAGACCTGGTTGTTGGGGTTATTTGGGGGAGTGAAACAATGGATAGAAAGTCTGTCTCTCTGTCTCTCCCACTTTTTGTTGTTCTGCCTTTCAAATAAATAAATAAATAAATAATTAAAAAAGAGATATATTGTGAACTATGGGAAAAAATCTCTTGTCCTGGGATCAGTTTGAGTCTTGACTTTTCCTTTGTGCCACTGTGACTTTAGGTAGATGTCTTAGTCTATGATTTCAGTGCATTTCTTTAAAATGATCATTAATGTCTTCCTTCAGTCTAGAGTCTCAGTTTTAGGTCAACCTTGTGGATGAGAATAGACTTCCCGACCTGTCTGACAGATGGGCGTGAAGCAGCACAGGGGTTCGCTGACACACACAATGACTTACCACGAGGGACGCAGCATGGGTGAAAGCTTGTCTTGACCCCGAGTCCAAGACTCTTTCTGCCATTGATTTCATAGTTATCTTGATGGCGCTTACTCATACAGTATTTTTGTTAGTTTTATAAAAATTCTGCCTACCTAAGTATATATAATTGTTTCCCGTGTTCCATTTTATGGTGATGAACACCACGAATAACAGGATTCAAATAATCCTCTCTCCATAGAGGTTTTGCTCAGTTTTCTATCTCTTTGTTAAAGGGATATTCTCATAAATCCTATCTCATAACCATGCCTAGAATGTAACACCCATTCTCCTCACCCTCCACCAAGGACATGAAGGCTGACTCTCAGTATGGGGCATGCCCTGTGGATTTCACCCATGGGCAGCTGGCAGGTGTGTGATCATGGCTTAGGTGTCAGCTTAGAAAAGTTTAACCTCCTGTGTAAGGACACCAAATGCAAGGGCCTGATATATTATCCATGTTGAAGTTGGCATGGACAGAAAATAAGCAGGTGGGAAGGCAAATTTGCAGGCAGGCAGGGGGGCTTTGGAAACTAAGCCTGGACTATATTTGCATCTTTTCTGAAAAAAGAAACCTCTTCACCTTCCTCTGATAATCGGTGTCTTCTACTCTGGCCTCAGCTCTCACTTGGGGCAGCTGGAGGGACAAGCATGTCATACAAGACCTTGCAGAGCAACCCAACAGAAGCAGCCCTTGAAACCTGGAGACCCAGCTTGTTCACAGGAAAGCAGGATGGAAACTACCTGATTCTAGGATATTCAGCGATTGATACGAAAATCATTGTCTTGGCTATAATCTTGTTGTTTTTGTGCCTGGTGGCAGTGGTGGGCAATGGCATTATCACTGCAACACTTGGCATGAACTGGCTGCTTCAGAGAACATTGTCGCCTTGTGATAAGTTATTGGTCAGCCTTGGGGCCTCCCGGTTCTTCCTGCAGTGGGTAGTGTTATGCAGGAATATTTACGTTTTCCTGCATCCGACAGTCTTCCCATACAACAATGTACTGCGGTTCCTAGCCATCTACTGGGACTTCCTGAGTGCTGTCACCTTATGGTTCTCGACCTGGCTCAGTGTCTTCTATTGCGTGAAGATCACCACCTTCACCCATCCCGTCTTCCTCTGGCTAAAGCACAGGGTGTCTAGGTGGGTACCGTGGATGCTGCTCAGCTCTGTGGGGTTTTCTGCCCTGAGTACCGTCCTACTTTTCATGGGTAATCAGAGTATATATCAGAACTATTTAAGGACGGATGGACAATCTTGGAACGTCACTGGGAATAACATGAGGAGCTCGTGTGAGAAATTCTATCTGTTCCCTATAAAAGCGATTACTTGGCTAGTCCCTACTCTTATCTTTCTCATTTGCATGGTTTTGCTCCTCACATCTCTTGGAAGACACACAAAGAAGGTCCTCTTGAGTCTCTCAGGATCCCAAGACCCCAGTGCCCAGGCCCACATCAAAGCTCTCCTGGCTCTCATCTCCTTTGCCATCCTCTTCACCTCCTATTCTCTGTCAATGATGCTCACTGCTGCAGGCATTTTTCCGTCTCAGGAGTTTAGGTACTGGGTGTGGCAGGTGCTGATTTATCTGTGCGCAGCGGTCCACCCTTTCATTCTGCTTTGCACCAACCATAAGCTGAAAGCTGTGCTGGAGAAGGGTTGCTGCTCAAGGAATGAGGCCTCTGGGGCTGCAGCTGATGATCACCTCTGAGGCAGGGGAGCAGCCAGGTAGACAGCTGCTGTCACGGACATGCCTTCAGCAAGAGCGTATCTGCTACGGCCGCATTCCTGTGGGACCTGACGTGGTCAAAGAACTGGGGAACTTGTTTTCCTTGTGATTCATCACCTAAAATTACTCTCCTGAAACCTGGGTGAAAAGATCCTGATATATCGTGCAACGTTTCCTCTGTTGAATCGGACTATAGAAGATTTTTGGAGCCTCAGCTTTCCCCTGGCTTTCTCCTGCGAACCACCATTCCTTTTTCATCATTGCACAGTCTTCTGGCCATCTACATGGTGGAGATCTCTTTCCTTCCTGGTGGACTTGGTTCCTGGTATCCAAATTCTCTGCATAGGGCAATGATGTAGTCTGTGCATGTGTGGCAGTAGGTATTGTCTGGGGTTTGTATATTCTGACAGCCTTCCGAGATTCCTCTGGGTGCTGGAGGCTATGATTTATATGTTGTTTGTGTTCTCTACAATAACCTGGCCTGTTGGTTTGTTCTGGAATGTTAAGGTCCATAGGTACAGATGCAACTTCTTTAATGTCAATATTGGGACCTACTGCAATTTTTGTCATGGTCAAGGTCACCTGTCTGAAATATCACATTGAAAAAGAAACAGACTGCTGGTTTGAATGAGTGAACTACTTTTCTCAGCTCTCTTCAGAACTTCTTTAGGCTCAGCTACCCCTCAAAGCATGCAGACTGAGACTACTCAAATCCTGCTATTCCGTCTAACATCTGTCAGCCTCCTTTCCTGTTTTCCACCTCTTGGCATCAGTAGACAGATCCCTGCTTTTGGCTTGTCAAGGCTGATGTACTTGTGCTCCTAAAACCCCATCCCTTCCTGCCCACTCTCTATTTCCAAATTCAGGAAAAGATTTCCACTTCTACACAGTCTCAATTCAGGTCTACTGTGTGGATGGCAGGAGCTCAATTACTTGGGACATTACTGCTGCCTCCAAGGGTTTGTGCTGGCAGGGAGCTGGAGTCAGAAGATGGAGCTGGGAATCCAACCTGAGTACTCCAATACGGGACGTGCGTATTTTAACCTCCTCCTTTCTAGTTGTTAAAGGAGCATCTACATGGCACCCTTCAGTGAAGACTCTGGATCTTTCTAAAGCTCAGCTCTTTCTCACATTTGAGGCCATGTAATTTGGGGTTCTCCAGTTGTGGCCCAAATTCTTGTGCTAGTGCACGCTTGTCTTCTCTTCCTTAGGAGATTTCAAACTTCCTAAAGGCATGGCTGCCTCCCACTCTTCATGAATCCTCCACTACACTTACAAGTAGTCGTTGCATTGAGCAGAGTTGCCCTATTGCAAGTGGAGTCCAGCGGTAAGCACGTGTGCTTCCGTCTGTGTATTTCTGTCCAGGCCACCCGCCACATGTTCACACCTGTGTTTAAGTGGCGTTCCCATTCACCAGCTGGCTGGTTTGGTCGTTGGAAGCTGAGCTTGTGTTTCATTTCTCTTTGACTTGTGTACAATGTATAAGTAATAAAAGGGTGAATAAAAGAATAAAATTTGCCTGATTTTTGATGTCTTTGGCTTCTTTCTTGTACATTTGCATGTTGCCAAGCAGCTGTGCCCAGCAGGCTTGCAGCTCCTTCCTACGGGAATCTCGTGAAGTGCCGGTTCTCTTTGAGCTGCCCCAGTCTTCCTTTACCAAGTGCCCTGCAGAAGTTACTCTTTGTTCCTTCCGCTCTTCATATCATTAGCCTGGGACGACAAAGCATCTCCACGGGCGCAGATTCGTGGGACCCTGAATGACGTACAGGGAAACAGAAAAGAGAAGCAAGGCCTGTGGCATTAGAAACATACCTGATAACTTGTTACCATTAATTTCTTCCCATAGTTCAACTTTATGTGTTATGATGATGACATTAACAACAGTTGCTTATTGAATGTCTATTTTGTGTGAGACATAGGGCTAGAACACAGATTTTTCATAAATATTTTGTATACTTAACTCTTTTTTAAAATTTTTAAAATTTTATTTTTTTGACAGGCAGAGTGGACAGTGAGAGAGAGAGAGACAGAGAGAAAGGTCTTCCTTTTTGCCGTTGGTTCACCCTCCAATGGCCGCTGCGGCCGGTGCGCTATGGCCAGTGCACCGCGCTGATCCGATGGCAGGAGCCAAGCACTTATCCTGGTCTCCCATGGGGTGCAGGGCCCAAGCACTTGGGCCATCCTCCACTGCACTCCCGGGCCACAGCAGAGAGCTGGCCTGGAAGAGGGGCAACCGGGACAGAATCCGGCGCCCCGACCGGGACTAGAACCTGGTGTGCTGGCGCCACAAGGCGGAGGATTAGCCTACTGAGCCGCGGTACCGGCCATGTATGCTTAACTCTTAAAATAACACTATGAAGTGGAAAGTGAGATCCAGAGAGGTTTACTGAACTCTTAGGACCAGTAAATGATAGGACTGGGATATTCTAGTGGTATAGAATTTAAAGTGGTGTGATTTTTTTAAAAAAGATTTATTTATTTATTTGAAAGTCAGAGTTACACACACATATACACAAATGCACACACACACACACACACACAGAGGGAGAGAGGTTTTCCATACTTTGGTTCACTCCCCAAATGGCCACAATCACCGGAGCTGGGCTGATCCGAAGCTAGGAGCAGGGGCTTCTTCTGGGTCTCCCACGCGGGTGCAGGGGCCCAAGGACTTGGGCCATCTTCTGCTGCTTTCCTAGGCCATAGCAGAGAAAAGGATCAGACTCAAACTGGTGCCCATATGGGATGCTGGCACTGCAGGTGGCTGTTTTACCCACTACACAACAGCGCCAGCCCCAAAATGGTGTGATATTAATGCAGATAATCAGTTAAGAGGCTATAAAAAAAGATGTGAATAGGTAGGTGCATTAACAGAGAGTACAGATCATAGTTACATGAAAAGTCGCATATGTTAAGTAAAGCGTTTTTATATCCTGGGAAAATATGATGAATTAATAATGTTTGGCATTTTGGTACTAAAATTGGAAAAGCAAAAACAAAGGTAGAGGCAACATTTTATCATAAATTCCAGACAGATAATCTTTGTAATTTACTTTTTAAAGCTATATTTTTATTTTTTTAAAAAATAGTTTATTTTTTCTTTCTATTTTATCCCATAGAATGCTACCTTTAAAATTTAATGTTATTACAGGTTACTACACTCTCCACCTTTTTGGATGTCATTGCAGAATGTGTCTTCAACTCCTACAAACCAGAGAAGCTCTATTTTTTCACACCTTCCTAAGCAAGACCAGAAATATCAAGCCATAATAAAAATAACTAATTAATTTGACTACCAAGAGAAAAAATATTCTTTTCAGCACAAACACACTTATAAGTATAGGGACTATTGAACTCCTTTTTAATTTGAAAGAGAAGTAATGCATTTTCAGAAAATATTTGCAATCTTTTCTTCCCCAGTAGAATTTAAATTTTCTTTATTTTATTTGGAAGGCAGACACATGCACACACGCACACACAGTGCTGCATCCTAACTGCTAGGCCAAATGCCCACCCCTACAAACATTTAACAAAGGATAGTCACTGAGATCCTTAATATACAAAGGGCTCCCACAAGCCAAAGAATGACTTACAAGCAAATTAATAGAATGGCGATGAAATGACAAAAATAGATAATTCACAAGAAGGAAAATAATGTAGTCTTACTTTTCATCAGGGAAGTGCAAATTAAAGCAAATTGTGATATAAACAAAGCTCCATAAGGCAGTGGCTTCCCCTTTCTTTCTCTGAAGGTCACACAAGAGCAACAAGAAAGTTGAAAGAGATTCTGAAAACTGCTTTCAATGAAGCTAAGAGGTAGATAATGCACAAATTTCAAATTATGTGAAATCATTGCCCATCACAGATCAGGAAGTCAAGAAGGCAAATGAAAAGGAGAAGTTTAAAGAGAAGTGAGGCAGCCCAGGAGGGGTGAGGCAAAAAATTAGCCTGCAAAAATACACTTTGCGCAGGACAGAGCCACACCCAGCAATGCAGCAGCCTCTTGGGATACAGGTGTTGGTTACCTACTGCTGCATGACAAGCTTCCTCAGCACTGAGTGGCTTACAGCACTGGCCAAGTGTTCCTGTGGGTCATCAGGCAGTTCCCAATGAGTCTCTGGCTCTCTGTTTCTCCAAAGGCTGCAGAATGTTAAGGCCCCAGTTGGAAGGATCTACTTCCTAATGCACTCATGTGGTTGCTGGAGGACTGAGCTCCTCATGGGGTGTTGGGCTGATGCATTGGCTCCTTTGGAACTACAGGGTGAGGTCTCCTTTGGTTTCTTCCACATGGCCCCCTCCTCAGAATGTCTCCATCAGAATGAACAAGTGAAAGAGCAAGCGAGAGCTCCTGTTAATAGAATTCAGACTCTTACAGCCTCGTCTCGATGGTAACCACGCAGTTGTGGTTGACAGAAGCAGAGGACTAAGAGAATTGGATCAATAATAATCAAAAAGGTAGGCGCCAAAACAAAAGGTGCATACTTATTTTTTTTTCAAAGATTTATTTATTTTTTACTTGAAAGAGTTACACAGAGAGAAGGAGAGGCAAAAAGAGAGGGAGAGGGAGAGGGAGAGAGAGAGGTCTTCAATCCGCTGGTTCACTCCCCAATTGGCTGCAACAGCCGGAGCTGCGCCGATCAGGAGCCAGGAGCCTCCTCTGGGTCTCCCACGTGGGTGCAGGGTCCCAAGGACTTGGGCCATCTTCCACCGCTTTCCCAGGCCAAAGCAGAGAGCTGGATTGGAAGTGGAGCAGCTGGGTCTTAAACCGGTGCCCATATGGGGTGCTGGCACTGAAGGTGGCGGCTTTACCCGCTATGCCATAGTGCTGGCCCCGCATACTTCTCATTAATGAATTCACAAACACAAATGAAGAAATAAAATAAAAAATAAAAGTTCTTTAAAAAGATCTTTAAAAACAAGAAAGCATAATGTATTAGAACTAAAACAAAACATACTGAACATGCAATTAAATAAACCTAAACTTCGGGGCCAACACTGTTGCATAGAGGGTAAATCTGCCACCCGTGATGCCAACATCCGTATGAGAACTGGTTCAAGTTCTGGCTGCTCAACTTCTGATCCAACTCCCTGCTACTGTGCCTGGGAAAGCAGTGGAGGATGGCCCAAGTCCTTGGGCTGCTGCACCCATGCAGGAATCCTGGATGAAGCTGCTGGCTCCTGGCTTCTGATATGCTCAGCTCTGGCTGTTGTGGTCATTGGGCAGTGAAGCAGTGGATGCAAGATCTCTTTCTGTCTCTGCCCCTCTCTGTATCTGTAACTCTCCTTTCAAATAAATAAATAAATCTTTAAAAAAATAAAATAAAATTAGACTTTGTTCTTAAAAGAGAACAGTCTTCAGATTGGTTCACAAAGCAAAACACAACTCTATGATATTTATAAGAGTTGTAAATAAAGTATAGTTTATAGAAAATTTGTAAATAAAAAGGTGAAAAATAATATGTCAGGGTAGGCAAACAAAACAAATTCGTGCTTAAAACTATTAAATCAGACACTAAGATAAACTTTTAATATTAAGAGAAAAAATGTAAAATTGATAGAATTGGTTTGAGTATCTATATTACAAGAAATATTGGGACATATGGGCAGGAACATTAAAAGCAAAATACTTTGCCAAGCAGACAAAAATTAAATATGGTCAAATAAGTTAGTCCTTATTAACTTATATGATATAAGTTAATATTAACCATATTAACTCTGTGGAAACCCGGAGCACAAAAACCAGTGGAATAATTACCAAAACAGAGATAACAAAAATTGCCTAAAGCAGAATACTACAAGATCTCACACATATAAAATCCTGTATAAAATATTAGAAAGTAAGATTCAGTAGTATATTAAACATTATTTCATTATTAGGTAGAGTTTAGGAATTTAAAGATGATTCAATATTAGAAAATCCATTAATATAACATCTTAGTAATCACTCTAAAAAATTCATATAATCCTCTCCAAAAATTACAAAAGGCAATTAAAAATTTATACTAATGTTTGATAAAATGCACATTAATAATAATGTAATAATTTGAAAATATATATCACCTCAAAACACAGCATATTTAATGAATCTAGAGATGTTCTTATAAAACTCAACATACTAAAAGAATGAACTTTATTACCATTATTTGCATTTAAATGGTGAAAATATCCAATGTAGTAATGCAAAAGAAAGAAATCAGAGCTTTAGAAAGCTCTACAGGGGAGGTAAAAATGTAGTCTTGAGAAGTCTGCATAATCAACATCATCATGAAAAACACTATAGAATAAGAACTTAGTATGGTGGTGACATGCAAAATAAATACACAGAATCAGTATTTTCTAAAATATACAAACAACCAGCAAGCTAAAGTTAAGGCACTAGCTGGTTTTCCTGCATGCTTTATTGGTG